TTTTGGAGCACAACAGAGGTATTTATATGAGTTAAAAATATGCAATATCCAGCTAAATATCAAAGGTTCCTCGTATATACTGCCACGTTATTCCTCTAAACAACACTCTTCATCAGTCTTGCCTTTGATTTGGCCCAAAGTTTAAGGTCATGTGCTCAATATAGAAAAACTAGTGAGTTCAGTGCTCCAAACAATATTCTCTTTCATTCTTTCCTCAGACACTATCCTGCAATCATGAAGTACCCTACATGCTGATTATACTTTCCAGAATTGCGTTAGCTATGTCGGTGTAAAAAGTTGTTATTTGTGTCCTTGCTTTTGTCATGATAGTCATAGAATCACAGCTCACATGGGTGATGGTCCCAGTCAAGCATTTGGATCCCGACTGTAATATCTCAACTATTAAATTGATCACTGTGACATTTTGATAGGGCGGTTAGGGATGTTGTTGGGTTCTCACATAGTCAACATGACTGAGTGACTTTCATCTAATGCAGCCATGAGGTTCATATTTATGCCTTTTAGTGAAATGAACGAATTACAGTGAATGTCAGGGCACATTTAAGTGCACCTCAGGAGGAATTGTGACAGAAACCTTCCAGTGAACTAATGTTCATGCTTCATGCTGCACTGTTCAGAGCTGCTAGAGCTGCTTTTGTGTAATGAAGAGGTGTGCACTGTGGTAATATCCTCAGTGCCCGGCTAGTTCATAGAAAGAACGGAAATATCAAAGTCAAACAAACCTTTTTACGTAAGAGTAACACAATTAAAATTAAAGATTAGTTTTGGGGACACGGTGTCCCTGATGTTTTTATGTAACTTTGACCACACAGTTATATAAAACTAGCAACAGCATCATGCCATCTCTATGATAGCAATGCTCTGCAAGGTCAGAGGGGGAATTTTCTGCACAGACAAGCCTTGTGTGCTGTAATAAAGAGAAAATGTGGCTCTCTATCCATGCACTTGTAGATGGAAATCTTGGTGGGGAAATCAGCATGCCGTTTACAGACACGAATGCCATCCCTGCTTCAGTTACACACGCTCACATTTGCACACACATCCCTGTTATCAACTCAGCGATGGACAGGAGGGAAGAGCGGGAAGCATGACGGCGGGTCTTCCCGCTGCTGGGTACAGTAGTTGAGCAATCAGGTCAAGCTGGACTTTCCAGTGTTGTCACTGAGCGGAGATACTTATGGCATAAAGGGGGATTTTTCAGAATAAGAGAAGGGCAGATATATCATTACCAGTGTCTTATGTCTTTCATCATGCACCACCAACACCAGCTCCACGAAATACTCCACAGAAACCAGAGAGCTGCTGAAGAGACAGGTGACATGAGGACAGGGACTGGGGTAAGAAATTGAAGGGGACACAACTACATGGAAACTTTCTATAAAGAAAATTAGAGTTATGTTATTTAAACTGCCATTTGTCATGAGGAATTAAGATTTTGTTGTTCACCATGCCATAAAAAAATTTTCAGAAATCAGGGATTACCATTGGTTATGAAACATGTTTTGACTTCATTTCTTCTGTTCTTCCTTATAGTTTTAATTCTTGATGGTCAACATGTATTTGTTTTTTTACTCGCTTATTGTCAAAATAAAATCTAAATATAATGCTAAATAAAATCATGTATGTCCTTTAAAAGCTTTGAAATCATTTTGTGTTCTGATGACGAGTGAGCTGAATTTGTTGTTGGATTTTTCTTCAGCTGCTGCTTTTAAAAGTGACACTGAACCTTCAGCTGGCTTGAAGTCTCATGCTGCTCCATCTCACTGTTTTTCTTCCCTTTGGTCCTCCCAGGGTTCTGTGGCTGTAGACAGGATGGTAAGCCGAGTAAATCAGGATCAGGGAACCTCCAGATTTCCAGACAAATCTGAGCCACTGTCCAGGCGCTGCTCAAGACCTTTGACCCGCAGCAGACCACTGACGCGCTCGTCCCTCTCATCCCCTATATACCTGCAGGCCCGCCGGGCTAGGGTGAGTTAGGCTGAGTTTCTATGTGTGTGAGTTTGTGAGGTGAGAGTGACACATTTGCTTGTCTAACTGAATGAGTCTTTGCTGTGAAGTCAGTGGATTAAAATGAGTGCAGTGCTCCTGATAATCATTAATACTGTAGACGAGGTAACAGGAAGGTGTTTGGAAGGATATGAGCTGCAGTCAAAAAGCTGCAGTCTTCAACATGAAAAAGCCCTTTTTGCTCAGTTTGATTACAGATTAATACATTACATCCTCAGACACAAGGTGATAAGATGTCTCACTTTGATTAAATTAATGCAAACCTAGAATCTTTCCAGCAGTTACTCCTGAGTTACTTTTTTGATAAACACACAAAAGATGATCCTGTAGACCGGCTCTGCAGATATATAGTCTGTCTGATTCAGCTGAGGTCAGTTATTTCGGGAAATGTTTTCAATTTGTAACACCAACTGAGTAAAACCTTTAGGCTGCGATGTGTAATTGTGAACAATCTTTGCACTTCCTCTTGTATTTTATGTCTAATATTGGGAATTTCTAGGCAGAGCTTTTAAGGAATGCGTCTGCTTGTTTATTGTTTTGACTACTAGTCAGGATTTATCCCCTGCCTTTTTCTGGGCCTCTGTCTAGTCTGCATTACCCCTGCTGTTGTGTAAATAAGGCGAAAGTCAAATTAGGAGACAGCTCCGCTCCATCCGGCAGTATGCAAGGTCACTGTTTTCTCTGTCAGCACTGCAGCAGCAACACAAACTATCACAAATACACCACTGCTCATCCACCAATGAGTGGAGGCCAGAAATAAGGAAAGGGGGAGTTATAGTCCACAACCTCCCCATACATTTTTGTTATTGAAATATAGTTTTTTTAACGAATGATGTGTGCAGTCCTTTTAAAAAGTCTTGAGGCTCTCCATGTTTCTTTATATTTTACTTCCAAGGAGACAGACTTTCTTGTAGTTTTTTAAAGAGGACTTGATCAATTGTTTTCCAGTCTTACTGAAGGGCTTTCAAAGGTTTTCTTTGGATGTTTTTCACTGATTTTCAGTCCAGTCTATCTGCCTGAGCATGTTCAGAGGAATGATACGAACCGTTCATATAAATAAGGCTTCTAACTCAAGAGAAGAGCCAGTGTTGTGTCTCTTTACAACTCAGCAAACAAGCTATTTGAAATTATATGTTTAGGTGCTTTGTTACTAGCAGACTGTTTCAAAAACGTAACGTAAAATAGTATTTTGTTATCAACAAGGTGAATCCCAAACAGACATTAGCTGAAAACCTACTGTATCCTAGCATGGAGTTCAATGTGAGTTTTAACTGTGAAACTGGACAGAAGAAAATCCAGCAAATACCTGATGCAGGACTTAAGAGATGCATCCAGGCCTGGTACAACTCTTTGGTCTGTGTGCAGGTCAATTTTTAGTTGTGTATATGTTTGTCTGCACATATGTTTGTGGGGACTAAAAATTGGAATGTTAATATACTTGTGGGGACCAACAGTCCCTTATGGGGACAAAATGCCCATCCCCACGAGTTCGAAGCCATTTTTGAGGCTCAAAATGTGGTTTTAGTGTTTAGTGTTTTAATGGGTTACAGTTAGGTTATGGTTACGTTTAGGCATTTTTGATGGTTAGGGTTAAAGTTTGTGTGTGTGTTTGGATGGAGGTAGAGGGAGCTCTAGGAACCATGGGATCAAACTGATGCAGAGGCGTGGATTTATTTTCTTCTAACCATGACTGATAAAGCACAGCTGTCTAAACTTTCTCTCTTTCTTTCTCACACAGACACGAACACACACACACACACACAAGCACGAGAGAGATCAAGATCAGATCAAAGGCACATTTGCATCAAAGCTATTTGTAAAAGCTTTTCTGAAAATAAGCTGATCCACCCTTCCTTTGTTCACTTTTCAGCTGTGAACTTTAAAACAGCAACATTCAGATAAAAAGCTTGTAGGAGCTGATTGAGGGGCTGCTATACACTACTGTTTCAGCACCGAGCATGAAACATTAAACAAAAATCTACTGCTACTCTCACCTTCTGACTTTGTGGATCAATTAGAATGTTTTTACATTATTACATAATGACATTGCTGACAATCATCTATCATATGATTGTCAGCAAACAAGACTGTTTTGTTAAAATGAGCATTGAAGTGCTTTTATTTTGAAAGCATAACTGACCATTTAAATAGACAATATAAATAACTGCTTTCATGTGAAACTTCACTTTTACTATGCATCTGTCCTTTTTAATTGTGAACTGACAGTAGAGATAACGATTTGAGTAATACACAGTTTGACCTCAGGAAAACCCAGGATGATCACACTGAAGTTCAGTGAATCTCAGCTTTTTTGCATGGATGTGGGGTTTTCCATTCGTTGCACACTGTCTGTGTCAGGATGAAGTTTCCCACACAGAGGAAATTGGACTCTTGGGATCCCAAATCTTTCAGTTTAGCAATTTTTGTGAACAAGGATGCTAACTGCATGTGTAATGCTCATCTCCTCATCCGAGTCTAACCTTTTGTTCTGACTTGTGCTGTCAGAAAATCACACAGGGACTAAAATCTATCCACTGTACTCAAGTTTAATGGAATGATTTACGATGATTTAAGTAGCTTTTTCTCGGACAGCCCTCTGCCTCAATCACCAAAAGCATGTCAGCGAGTGTACCACATATCCTTCACATGTGACACTTTTTCCTTTTAATTCCCAATAAATCTTTGGTAATACTAGTAAATAAGCTGTCTGGGCTTTGTGGGTTTTCATGAGATCGTATGGCATAAACAGTCATGAAATATGTTTCTTTTATTTGAGACAGATTTAGAATTTGAGTCATATTCCCAGTGTAGCTACTGCTGCTGTACGAAAAGCGTGTATGAGGGAAACAATGAGATTACTCTGCACTGCTTTACACGGCATTTGTACTTAACTCCTAATTTTTCCTCTTCTCTTTTTCCACGCCAGGCTACTGGAAAGATGACCAGCGACTCGGCAGGTACGATACCTTTTACAACAAGAGTGTGTGTGCTTGTGTGTGTGAGTTTGCGGCTGTGTACTTTCACTGTCCTTTCTGTTGGATTGTTTGCATTCCCACTTTGGGATAAAGCTGGCTTCTGGGAATATCTCCCTCAGGATTTCCAGCCAGTAGGTCAGCCACTCAGACGTAATGATATACTGTTTCTGCTGAAAATGCACACACACACACGCACGCACACGCATACACATGTATATTTAGGTGCAAAGCCATAGATAGTAAAACACACAAGCCATCTCTGCTTTGAAGCTGTGGTTTGGTGGAATTTTTTATGTGATAACAAACAGAGGTTTAACATCTCAGTCAACAAAACACACAAAAAAAGGTCTTTAATCAAAAATATCTTTTCTTTTGTTTCTCTCTGGTCATCGCATTCCCACACACTGTGATACAAAGGTCTGGGTAGATGATTAATGAGCACAGCTCTGCCCCCGTCCGTATCTCTTATCCTCACAGTGTGTGTCCTTTGATTGACATGCACAGGCGTCACAGCTACTATAGTTAAGTGCAACCCAGGGAGATGTCTTGGTGACAGGGTCACATTCGCTGCACTGTGGAATTGTTTGCTTTTGTGTGTTTTGTCTGCGTGTGTGTGTACCTGTATGTACGTGTGTGTAACGCTCGGAGCGTCTCAGATGTATTGCATCCAGTCAGACGTCTGGTGTGCGCAATGAATCCTTGGAGGCCGCGGGGAGGTCAGAGGTAACGCAGTCAGAGGCGATGCTGTGAGTGGCGTGTGACGGGGATGTTTGTGTATTTATAAGTAAGAAAAATTTTATACAGACGTGGCGCGCCGAGGGAGGAGTCCAGATTAGATTTGCCAGCGGCAGCATGTGTTACAGTCAAATCTCTGCTCCCATTGCTGACATTCACCCTGTGCTCTCGGACAGATAAACAGGGATTTTTTTGCATTTGCTTTAAACACAACTAATGGCAGCCATACTGCGTTCTGTGAGGGATCTCTCCTTGTTTGTTTGCAGATTATTGTAATTTTCCTCAGTGTGTATTTATTCATTGTGACAGGTTTATTGAATATCTGTGGCCGCGTATCACAGGGAATGGTATGCATTTGCAACTCATGCGTTTTTCAAGCCTGTGGAGAAAAACACCTTAATCCCTGCAAAGGTTATGCTTTCAACATGAATATGCAGTAACAGGCATTTACGCACTTTTGATCTTAAATTAATTTGCATGTGAATGTTCCCTTCGTAGTGCCTGTGGCGTCTCACATCAGCATCGCTGAATGTTGCACTTTTCTGCACCTTAACCCACTTAGAAACTTAAAATGAGGACAACTGTGATCATTTTGTTTAACCGAAGTGTCATTTCCCAGAGTAATCTGTCAATCTACCGCGTTATTCTGATTAAAATGTTCTAATTAGGTTAGGTTAGATTAACTGGTGATTCTAAATTGTAGGTGTGAATGGTTTCTCTCTGTGTTAGTCCTGCGACAGAGTAGTGACCTCTCCAGGGTATACCCTGCCTCTCGCACTATGACAGCTGGGATAGGCTCCCCCACGACTGTAAATTGGATAAATGGAAGAGAATGGATGATGGATTCCAAACAAAGTAATGTTGCAGCAGCTAATTTCCTTAAAGCAGGTAGAAAGGTGCAGACCTGGGACTTTATTAAGCAAAGCAGTGACCTCATTCTTCCTAGTATCAATAACAGGAACTCTTATGTGTTGAAAGTCCACTTCATGAAATTACCCTTTTTGGGTTTTGCATTTTTTCAGACAGGCCACACACTGTCACTTCTCTGGCAAAGGTATTTAAGTAGAGCGCTGCTATTTTAGAGCAGCCGAGAAGCTACAGATGACCTTGGTTTAAAAAATGCACACTGACACACATTCTCCCCATTTTCACTGCAGCCCAGGATTATACATAACATATAATCCATCAGTATTTTTTCATGATTGAAAGGTGCTTAGGGAGGATGTGAGTAGCCTATGGCCCGCTGCCCTTTAAGTGTGTCTTTTGTCGGTCTGTGATATGTTTTAAAAATGTCTGGCTAACCTGCAGCTCCTGCTGGCTTCTGGTTCACATTTTCTGCTGATATTTAGCCCAAATGTTTAAAAAACATAATTGTAGTTATTGTTAAAGTGACAAAAATCATCCTATTTAACATAAAACATGTTTCAGTTTGACTGTAAAATTCTGCTGCTGTGTGTTTTGGATGAGTAGAAGTTTGCTCAGCAATTATGTTGCAATAAACCTTTATAACTTAATGTGATGTGCAGACCCACCCGACAGCAAACATTAAAGGTTTGTAGTCTGATGTAGGAGGTCCCTTATAAAGCTTTTGCTTGGCATGTGTGCTACAGTGTGTGTTTGTGTGTGTGTAAATATTGCTGCAATATGCAGCAGTGCTTTAACAAGTCTGGAAGTGGATTTGGCTGTAGTCCAGCTCTCTCCTGCTCTTCCCTCCTTCACCTCCCTTTTCATTTTTCTGCTGTCCTTCTGCCCTCTGCTGTCTCTGTTGAATTTCTAAACTCCCACAGTGAATTTCTTTTTTTGTTTTAATGTTTCAATATAAAATAAAAGACTCTCCCTCACTCTAAAAGCTCAGACTTGGAGACTTGGGCAGGATGTAGTTCAATTAACCACACAGCAAGCCATATTATTTACCAGGTAATTGCATTAAAACACTCCCAAAGGCACGGCTACCACGCCCGTCATTGAGAAGTCCAGTTCAGGGACTTAAATTAGCTGAGGTGAAGCGTAGCAGACAGCTTCCAGTTAATGACACTTGTGTTTGAACCGTATAATGCACGACTTTCAGTCTTTATATAAAAATATACTCCCTGTTGTCTTGAAGGCGATTGAATCCACCCTTCGGAGCCACGCTCAAGTGGCCACTTTAGTTTTTGGGATTTCCATGTTGCCACTTTGTCCACAGCCGCTACTTGGCAGCAATGCTATGTTCACCAGGTAGCTGGTTGCTGATGGCTCTTTGCTGCACAGCAGTTAGTGTACAGTTAGAGTAGCAAAGTTCAGAAAGATGCCTACTAATGATCAAAGGCCTGAACCCTGTACTATGAAGTGAGTTCCACATACTCAGGGTATCTTTCCATTATCTGGATTCAGTTGCATTCCTGAATTCCTAACATTGTGTTGGGTGATCAGGATAAGCAGTCACACAAAGCTCGTTATCAACTTGTTAAGTTAACCCAGGGTTTACCCTGCACGTTCACATGAAAGGGTGGTCTTGGCAGCATCTGATCAATCTAAAAAAGGTATTACACGTGTCATATGACTCTTCGTGTACAGAAAATGATCCCTATGAGTGCTTCCTACTGTTGCCAAAAGAACCAGAGAGGAATGCTGAAGAAAATCGTTAACCTGGTAATTAAGCACAGAGATTGGTAAAAGAAAGATTTTAATTCCAATTAATTATTTTATCACTAATTGCGCTCTCAGTTCTTCTGTTTATTTCTAAGGTCACAGCCGAAATTTTAAAGTGTCCATGTAGTGTATCCAAGTGTATCCACATTAAAGTTTGGACATTGCTTCAGTTTGTTACAGATTAACAAAAGAAATTAATTTGATTCAGTGAACAGGTATTTTTGCTGTTTAAGCATCAGAATACTTTATTAATCCCAGAAGAAATCGCAGTTGGCCCAATACAGTAAGAACAGCAGCAATCAAGTTAAAGCACTAATATTAAATAATACAATATATTGCATAATAGCTCTAATATATAAATATTCCCATATTACGCAAAATTAAAATATAAAATAAAGTTAAAATTGACATGCTCTTCTAATACTATCATACTCTTATTTTCTCTCTTTATAATACAGACCTCTGCACTACAAAGCAAGATTTTGTCTTATCCAGGTAAGTTCACAGTTAGCCCTGGGTTTTCAGTGCTACAAAGATGGTTACTTATGCTACAAAAATAATGACATAAATTCTTTTGTTTCCACAATTAACGTCAGTACGGACTTTAGAGTCTTGCAGTTAGTTTTACTTATTTAATTAAAATGTGTCCAGAAATGACAACAGAAAATGTAACAAACAGTGAGAACCATCCAAATGTTAATACAGATGAAAGAAAATATAGACAGAAGGGTGACTGGGGCAGAGTGGAGACATCTGGGAGACACAGTAGACACTAATCAGGGAAAACAAGAGAGGAGAAACAAAACTAAATAGAAAAGAAGAAGAAGAAACTATCAAAATAAAACAGGAAATAAGTCCTAAAAACACCCACCACACATACTTGACATTAGGATTCGGGAAACACAGGGAATGTAAAATAAACTGAAAACTCTAAACCTGAGCAGACTCCAGATAGCTATGATCAAGCTAAGGCCTGCGAATTAAAAGACAGAAACCAAGACCCCAAACAGGAATAATTACTGAAAGTGCAAAACTGAAACTCAGGCACAAGAACCAGCAGCATAATATACCCCAGGGTATAGATATAAAACCAGAATTCCCCAGGAATTCTCTCAGATTCTCAGATTATTCTGTCTTACTAACAGAGCTGTGATATGTGTGATATGTGATCAGTTTTTGGCATTAGGCATTTTTACCAACTTTCTTTCCTGGCTTCAAATAGGCTAAACGTTATTAATATATCGTCTCTATCCCAATGTGACTGACCAAAGAAGATAAAGCGCACGCTTTTACATTACAACGATTCTCCTCTCAAATACTCTGTGTTTTTCTTTCTGTGTGATTAACCTCTTCACATTGGCCCATCATATCGTTTCATCCTCCTTTGGAAAGTCAGCCACTCGGTTGCCAGTACACTTACTCTTAAACATTACACTTAAGTAATTGTGATTGGTCAGATGCTGCCAACGACTCTCTGCTCATGTGAACACACAGAGGGAAAGCCTGGGTTTACTTAGAGTACGTGAATCGAGACATGACATCCTCTGTATGTTGAACTTGCTTCATAGCACAGGCCTCGGAGCTGTGCCACAGGTCATAATCAATCACCAAAAAACAACGAGCAGGTCAAGGCATAAAATGCTCCACAAGTGCTCAGAGCGGAGCAGAACTGAGATGGATGATAACTCTGTGAGCTTGTCACATCCTTTAACACACAAAACACCATTTGATTTATTAATAATGTGAAAATATTAATAACAGCTGCTGTTATGTAAACATTCAGCCAGTCTTAGACAAACAGACTGACTAAATATAGCGAACGTGAAGAAGACACGGCGACTCGAGTTTCAGTCTGATTAGTCTAAATGTTTCACCGTAATCATACACTTGTAGTTAATTGTAACAAACGCTTCAAACATTCAACTGTACTACTTGTGTATTTCTATGTATATTTTGGTGTGAGTATTGGTGGTATGTTTTTATGTTTATCTTATGCAAACTTATGTGTTTACTGTGTGTGGTCTTGAAACCCTATCCCAACACTGAGGGCTCCAGGAAGGAAGTTAGTCCTTGAGGATTTTCCAGGTAAAAAAATGCTTATTTTAACAGCTAGTGTCTTTAAAACGAGACAGAGGGCAATAAGGAGGTCTTATCAGCATATGATCTGCACTTCAATGACCTGTGGAGTTTCCCTATAGACCCCCCTCCCAGTCATGCCCCAGGTCCTTCTTCTTCCATGCCACAGTCTGCACCCCATGGTCTTCTCCATTTAGCTTGCAAACCCCCTCGTCTCTCTCCTCCTCTGTCTCCTTCGAGCCTGGTTTCCTCTTTTTCCCATCTGCATCGTCTCTCCCCTTTGGTCCACATGCCAAGACCATCACTTTGTGTCTCACGCCTCGGGTGGGCCAGTAATAGCCATATCCTGTAGGTGATCCAGTCCCCAGAATAGGAGGTGGACAGTATCAACAGACTTATCTTCACAGGCTGGACAAGGGAAGTTGTTGTTGTTGTTACTGGAGAGTGTGCGGATAGACACTCTGAATGAGCTCCTGACCCACTTTCCCCTCCTCCGGCTCTTTTTTCTGAGGGAGGTGACCGGAGTACAGCATTCCTCAATGACTGATGCAGAAACATCAAAGAATCATTTTCACTCAGGCTTTTTTTTTCTTTTGAAAATTTAATATCTTCAAGATTTTTAGTAAACAGATTTTACATCTCATTTGACTTTTTTGTCTTATTTGGGTTTAACTCTGTTCTCGTCTGAGTGCCACCATTGTCTGTCTGTCCCCACTACTTATTTCCGCTCATGCTGAGGGTTCACTGTCTGCTGTTGCTGGAAGCACCTGCCAATCACAGCATCGCTCTGATGTTTCAAAGGTCAAAACAGCAATATCAGTTCTGAATACTAAACACTGCAGCTTTTGTCAGTCATAAAAGCTAGCACTAAGAGAAAGGCCTACTTTTCTTTGAGGATGTTTCATGTTTTTTTTATATTTACCTCTGTGGAAACTTGTATCCTTAAATAGAAGCAACAGTGACGTGTACATGGTAGTGTTGTCTTATTCTTTCGGCTGTTCCCCGTAGGAGTCTCCACAGCATCAGCTCTATCCCTAGTTTCTTCTTCTGTCACACCAACCCTGTGCACGTCCGCCTTCACTACATCCAAAAATGCTTGCTGTGCTCTTCCTCTTTTCCTCCTGCCTGGCAGATCTATCTTCAACATCCTTTGCCTACTATTTCAACTATGTCTTCCCTGCACATGTCTAAACCATCTAAAAAAAACAACTCATTTCTAATCTCATCCTTAAACTCTGCCACCTTTTCATCAGTGCCACCGTCTCCAAACCATACATCATATCAGGGCTCACTACCATCTAAACCTATCATTGTGTAAGCCTGCACTCTTTTCTTCACCTCTCTCTTGCAATGTCTGTTGTGGGTGGTTAACTCCAGGTATTTAAACCCATCCACCTTTACTAACTACACCTCTTGCTCATTCACACACATGTGTTCTGTCTTGCTTATACTGACTTTCATTCCTCTTGTTTCCTGCATGCACAGGTATATCCAGCTTCATTCTCTCCATCACATCAGCCAGCCCTCTACCTACATTTAGTCCCTGAATTTAATGTCTCTACTCTCACCCTGACACTCTTCCCTTTCCGTCTCTCCTTTCTTTGTCTTCCTCCAGCAGTCGCATAGTTTCCATTGGGAATGAATCTCATTCTTGATCAAAGATTTTACGCCTTACGCCCTTCCTGATGCAACCCTTCTTATTTTTTCAGCATTGTGACCAGTACTACGAGTGCCCTGGCTTGTGACCCGCCCTTTTCTGTGGCTGGGTTACTTGTAAAGGGCAGTATTTTTATTTCATGTTAGGCTGCTAAAGGTAAAGTACACAACCAAGATTGAGCACATTAACAGATGTGATCTGAATCCTAAAGAGTTAGCCTTCATAATACTTTCTGAGGATGTGAGCATATGGAATAACTGTGATTCAGTGTAAGATGATTACGTGTGTGTGTCTGTGGGTGGGCGTGTAAGTGTGTGTGTGTGCTCTCATGGATAACTAAAACACATAGTATGAGGTAGGAATTTAGGTCGAGGTCACACAGTGCCATCTGTTCAATGGTTTCATTTAATCTGAAGGTTTTCTACTCAAGTGGGCACTGCAGGTGACACGATGACAATTAAATTTACTGACTGAAATGAGTATTTTTGCCACACACAGATGAGGTAAGCCTTTGTAAGTGACACAGGGGGGGGAAAGGAGGTTATATGCATGCTCTTCAAGCTGAAACTGTTGGGTCCAGCGAGCTTTGCTGCTTGGCCTGAATGACTGAGTGTTGCTGAAAATAGAAGACAGGGAGCAGGGAGAGAGTAGCAGGGATGAGGAAAAGAAAAATGAGCTAGTGCAAGAGGAGGAGAAATGGATAGAGGGTACATGTTAGCTGAGAGGACATGGAGCATTTAAAGAAACGTTGAGAGAGTAGTTTGGTGAGATGGTTTTGTCACGGTCTTTGGTCACGTGATCTGTTAAATCATTGATTAGACTGAACTCGCTAACCCAGTCTCTGTGTGCAGCTATTGACTTTTTACAGTAATTTTTATTGCGGTGAATGAGCGAAGCCTTCGACAGGGTTACATTTTTCTGGGAAAGAATGTGCAGGCCTTAGAAGATGACTATGTACATAAGCATATGCATGCAAAAAAGACAGTGCGTGTAATGGTCTTTGTGATCAGTACATGCACGGGCACTGGCTGCACGATCTTTGCAACCTTAAATGACCTGATAGGAAAAAAGCAGGAGAAACTTGATTTCTCTTCCTGTTCTTCCTCCTCCTCCTCTGCCCCTGGAAGACAGCAGCCTTTCCCAAACCATCCCTGTACATTTTTTTTTTGTAGCCACTGCAAGATCTGATTGCTCCCCTGGTGGAGACGCCCATGCTCTGCTGTGTATTTGTTCAGAAATTCAGATACAGGGTCTGCCCATAAAATATCAGTTGTGCTGCTTTGATTGGCTGTTTGAGAGCTGGAATGTGTTGGGTTTGGTGTTTTGATTGCCTGCTGCTGTGAGAGACGGTGATCCTGTGGTGCTCGTTCTCTCTGCCCAAAGCAGAGGTTGACCTCACGGACCAGCTTAGCATCCACATATCACAGCCTTCGACATCACAGGGATGAAACCCAAAACTGACGGACTGTGGATCCAACTCCCGGGATGCAGTTTTCAGAGAAGTGCAGTCAGAGTCCAGTTTTTCACTCTCATTGTACTGATATATACAAACAACACAGAAGAACCTCATAAGTGCGTTATTATGTGGGTTTTTTGTAAACACAGTATGTAATTATTTCATGTTTCTTGGTTAATTATTATTATTAGTATTCTTCTTTATTAATTGTTTTGTAAAAATAATAATTCATTAGTTACCCAGTTTCAGCTATGCATTAATAGATGTACATAAGTGTTCAAACACAGTGGGCCACTCTAAAACTAGAAGGTAAAGGTTTTAAATTTAATTTATTAGTTCCCCAAGCCATGACAGAGCCTCCACCGTGTTTTACACATGCGTGTAGACACTCACTGTTGTACCTCCCTCCTGATCGTGATAGTATTATACATATATAATCTCAGTTATTTTAGATAAAAGGTTCAAATTTGGATTCATCACTTCATGAAGACCTGTTGCCACTGATTTTTAGTCCAGTTCTTCTGTAACTTTGCATACGTCACCTTTTACTCCCTGTTTCCCTTCCTTAAGAATGACCTCAGTGAACATCCAGATACATCTCTCAGGTCCCGTGGCAGCTCTTTGGTGGATTTCTTAAGGACATTTTCAGACACTGTTCATCTGCTGGAGATTATTTTAGCCCACCACATCTTTTGTCTTCTCTTGTCCAGTTTATTCATAATTTTTAAGGACACGCTGCACACTGTGAATGCCTTCAATAGCAACAAAGTGTAAGACTCATTAAATTTTTCTTTTCCAAAATATATTCCCTCGTTTAGTGTCGTCTATTTACATATTCAACCAGTGAGCTCTAATGACAGCAAAGGTTTGGTTTTACCTGCAGCACTCTGTAAAGTGACCCACGGCACACGCTTTCTGCTTTTCCGCGTAACCCAGCTTCTCTTTAGTTTGTCAGCTTTGCTGCAACATGTACACTAGACTTTTTTGTTTTGTGTGAATGGAAAGAGTTAATGTTTATGTTTTTGTGAACCAAAGAGTGCTGCGGAATCTGGCTTTGCTTTACTCCAGATGCCTGCAGCTGGAAATAAGAACCTTGTTTGTGCTTTTCATGGCTCCCCTTAAGACATGTGTTACTTGTTTTAAAAGCACATACATGCTTATCTTCTGCACAGCCTTATTCTTTTTGCATGCTGTCATCATTATCATCATATATTTTATTTAATTCACAATTCCTTGGATGACACACAGGTGCACTGCCTCCGCATAGCCTCCCAGCATTCTCAGCATCATTAGTACACACCTACATTTCTATGGGGGCTGCCTGGCATCCTCCCCCCTTTTCCTCTTTCATTTTTCTGTTTCTGTTTTGAGTATGTGTAAATGTAAAAGACAGATCGGCATTTGTCTTATCCTCTTTTTGCAAAATTATTACTTGCTTGTTTGATTAAAGTAATGAAAACAGGAATTATAAAGCAAATGATTTAATGTTATCTTTGCATTCTCTCATCTTTAAGTAGTTCTGCCCCTCTTCTTTTTTTCCTCCCATGCACACGTTCCCTTCTTTTATCCTTCCAGCTGTTCGACTACAGGTTCATACTCCAGTCTCAGAAGTGAAAGAATATGAATCAATGGGACACTCTGCAGCTAAACTGTCAACTTACTCTGTGTCATGCAGGGCAAAGCAGGGAAAGTTAGACCAGCCTCCATCACCTTCACCTTCACCGTCTTTGATGTGGAGCAATTTCAGCTGCACAAGTCACATTCTGGGTGGAATTATGTCGCCAAATATTTGCTCAGTGCTTCGACTAAGATGGTGAGCCGTGCCAGTAAAGCAGCATTTGGCAGCCAGATAACCTCAGGATTCTGCTGACCGCTCAGGGTGTCTAGCGTGTTTCGACAAGATGAACTATTGAATCAGGTCTCTGCTCACTGGATCCCTGCTGACCTGCAATTTAACACCACAAACAGGACATCCGATGGTATCAGGCAGACGGCAACCGAGGAGCGTCCTGGTCGGTCTGATCGCTCGGTCTGGCATTCCTGGAATGACATGGGAATCTCTGAAATTCCCACCTCTTAACCTGTCAGAGGGGTGAATGTGGCTCTGAAAGAGAGGCAGCTCACATGCTCGAGCACTTTCACTTTAGGCTGCTGGCAGCAGCAGTACGCGACTTTATCTCAGTTAGTCAAGAAAAAGTCAGTTACTCAATCACCAGTTAGTGCTGTTACAGGTAAAGTTAGAAACTCCCTGAAGCACAAAACACATCTGTGAGAGCTTTATTGCAATTTTTCTTTGTCCTGTACAAAACTGGCAGCTTGTATGGTGTTAAGATCACAGACAGACATTTTTAAAGCAGCCACATCATGATCCAGCATTTTAAATTTGAGAATTTGCTGATGCTTTCTATTTCCTGACGCTGGTAATTGCAAACGTGTTGGAAACATCACCTCGAGTTTTAAAGATTGTCTTAGCTAGTTGTCATAATTTCTGACAGAATTTAAAAGAAACAGAAACGGAGGACAAAAAATTAAGTTCCTGAGTACCAAAGCCCTCTCAGCTGCTCTCTGAGGTCAGACCTGTGACCAAAGCGCAGATTCAGTTCCAAAATATCAAGGGGCACGCTGTAGCCAGCAACAGAAAGACATATTTTATTTTTCAATTTTTACAATACCACAATTCTAAACACAAACAGACTTTAATTATGCATATTCTCTACCTCGTTAACTTCCACTCACAAGTTAATGGTTAACACGAAGGAAAATCTGCTCTTTACCTGGAGATAATCTGTGGTTGCTGCTTGCTGATATTTGCAGATGTCTTTCCACTGAGTTTGAGATTCTTGCTGAATTGATCAAGCAATTTCAATAATTATTCATGCAATTTAAGATTCCCAAAACATAGACAGGATTGGTCGACACACAGCTCCAAATCACATCCTGCGCGTTCAGTTAAATCATTTTAAACTCTTAGATTCAGCACAGCATGCCGGTGTGTTTTTATTTTAGGCTCGTCTGTCCTGGCTGTGTTACCAGTAGCCTACTGGGATTGAAAGAGATCCTTGTTTGGGTGAGTGGGTGGGTTTGTGGCGTGGAGAACGCGTAGACTAGGTTTGGTTCTTGTGTGTGTGTGTGTTTGTGTGTGTTTGAGAGAGAGCGAGTCCAACCCTTGTGGCGGGGGGGCGCCTCTCACATCTGGCTCGCCTTGTCAGAGTTCTCGCCTCACATGCAGAAGTTATGTTGTAACATTTCTGCATCTCCGCCCTACAGACGTGGACGAGTAGGGCAGAAATGCAGAATTTGTTAAATCAGTACATCATTTTTTAGAGGGGGTCAGGATCCTGCCGGTAGGACCTCATCCGCCTGCACTGGTACAGGAAGGTGACGCAGCGCTAGAGGAGCTGTATACCAGGTGTAGCAGTGACGACTATTGCGGCAGCCAGACGCAGAAGCCGGGGCGCACTGCCTCATCCCGGGCTGTTCGCATAGCGGAATAAAGGAGCTGAGGAATAAGCGTGTGGTTGACAAGAGCAGTGGTTTCGTTTTTTTAATAGTCGGGGGAATATGAGTCCGGCTGCACAGCAATGACAACCCAGCGAAAGTCTGCCAAGCTACAGCTGCGGCGGTCGATCAGCGAGCAGCTGCGGGACTCAACGTCCAAGGCTTGGGATCTGCTGTGGAGAAATGTCCGGGAGAGACGGTTAGCAGGTCAGAGCCAAATACAAATATGCGGGATGCAGCTTGTCCTCACAGATGAAACAGCCTAACTGTAACCACAGTAAGAATAATGACGTGCTAGGCTACATTAAACCACCACTTACTTTTTTTCATAAAATCCTGGTCTGAAAATTCAGATTTTTTTCTGTTTTCTTTCTAAGTGGTTGAACATTTGCCTTATTTTTCCCTCACTCTTTGGTTGTATGATTTTACGCACCATCGTATTTATTCCTTTAGACCTTATAATATTATTAGAAGACAGAAGTTTATCTTCAGCCTATGTGCTGCATATAGAGCTGTTTGCCTGTAGCGTCACAGCAGCGCGCACCCTGGTATTTTGGGAAGGTCATTGTCAAATTTAGTCCTCAAAACAGCACCCAGGCATGTGCTGTGGACAGGAGTCCAAAGAAGGGGGGTCCAGATGCCAATCATTCACTATCTGTTGTTCTAATCCGGACTCTGGTTTACTTTCACTTATTTTATTCTCGCTGTTTATTATTTCGGATTATGTCTTCCGGAGAAGGAGTGAAATATTCTCACAATGCAGCAGGTTCCC